TATGATATTTTTTCATATTTTTAAATATAACAGAAATATTCTAAATGACCAAATTATAGGAAATACTCTGTATAAAGATAAAAAAAACAATATAAATATATTCGAAATGATATCAATTTCTTTATATTTTCTTTAAATATACTTGATCGATGAACTCGGGATCATAATGAAAATAAAGAAAGTTATGGAACACATTATGAGTTCCGGTTCCGGTTCGGTCTGCGTTCCTACTTCACACCTCACACGTGTTCTAGATAAAACGAATTGTTCGAAAAAAAAGAAAACCCGGAAAAAAGAGAAACGGCTTATTGAAAAAAAAACGTGATTGAAAATAGTGATCGAAAATTGATTTGTTGTTGAAAATGAAGGTAAAAATAAGAGTATGTGACCCCTAACCATTTTTTACTGACAAATATTCAACTAACAAATGATTTTACCTACCTTTTTAAATAAAATATTATACATCGATATAATTATTATAGATCACTTAAATAATAATTTGTCTATAATAAATATTTAAGTAATAATATATCAAGCATCATAGATAACTTTAAATAACAATTATATTTTATTAGTTAAATATTAATTTAGTTTTGTTAATAAAAAGGTATTCACTTTTATTTCCACTTTCGACCTTTAAATTTTTTTCCAGACATTTTATCCCGTTACTGATTAGATTTTCAAAAAGATTAATTCTTTTTACCTGTAAATCAGTTTAAAATTTTTTATTAGGAGTTTCAAAGATTTAGTTAAAACAGAAAAGCGCGTAAGGATCTCATGGAATTTGATAGATTAATTAGTAATTTAAAAAGAAAAAAATTCAAAATTATCTGTTTTCGACATCTGACTGAAAAGAGATTGACCTGCGTAAAACTACGTCGATAAAGTGGTTTTTTTTTTTATGTGACACAGAAAAGAATGTACTCTTCCTCGATTGAAAAGTCGTCTTGACTCTAATCTCAATTCCTTTGTATTTTAATGTTTTGCTATTGTCCTATGAAGAATTTGCGCTTTCGCTTTGATCTGAATGAATATAAAGAGAGACCATTACCAATGAGTCGAAGTACGTATCGAGAAATCGTTCGACTTTTCACTTCCTTTAACAGTCGCATTTTCAAATAGAAGTGAAGTTTATACTTCGCGTTGTTGTAATATACAATATTAACGCAAACAGGCACATCACGAAAGTAATTGGATCGCGCGTGTCATTTTCTTCGTGTTTTAACCGACTTTCAATGGAATATCGATCATGCGTTATCAACCTTCCTATATAATGATCCACTTCTTTGCATGAATGTCAAGGAGAAAGCGATGTATCGTGATGTGCTGCACAATGTTCTATCAGTTTTTATCGTACAATTTTGTATTTAATTACCCACATATTAACTATACACATTTATCTCATTGTAACGGTGTTCAAATCAGTTAATATAAGCCTTTTAGTCTTAGTCGTACTTTCTATAGACTTCGTCTTTTTTTCTTTCTCTCTTTTATGAATAATATTTTTCTAATCTATTTTACTTTTAGCGTAAGAAGATATTTGAAAGACGCAGAAAATTCATTTCTTTAAAAACTTCGAAATTTATTAGCAACTTTTATTTAATTCCTATAATCACAATATACTTGTGAGAATATATTTATAGAGTATGCGAGAGATATTTCATCGAATAAAAATTTTAAATGTGTAAACGTGAGCAACATATGTAGCATTGCATATCTTTAGAGAAATCCATATACATCGGTCTTATCTTTAGAGAAGATAATTACGTGTCAGTCAATAGTTTACTGCTTTAATTAAATATAAAATTAAGATTTGCTAAATAAAAATTTGAACATATTTTGTAAAAACACATTTTTCAGTTCTAAAATAAGAAAAAGCATCTAATTTTTTATAACAATGTTGTGCAAAATAACGTTAAAAAACATGTTATTTCGATAAAATAACTTAAGATTATATATTTTGAGAATATTATAATAGTTTAAGGAGGAGCCTTACAGAAATTTAATACTGGTAGGTACATAGTGAATAATTTCTTATTTGAGTATTAAAAGCATTTATAAATGGTTAATTATTACCTTTCAGAATTAAATTTCTCTAAGGAGAAATGCCAATATTTCATTACATCCTTCTACAAATATTTAATGAATTAATATTTAATATTATAAATCAAATTTAAGTGAATTAATTACATTGAATATTTTATAATGTCTCAGTTGTATATATACGTACATATAGGCATTTCAAAATCCTTGAACATATATCTGCCAGATATCCTTCAGATTAAATTTTGTTATACGAATATTTCGTAGATTGGTTATTTCGACATTGCTTATTTCGCATTATCTCTCTATCTGAATCGAGTACATAATTAATTCTTTATTATAGGCACTTCTTTTTATAAACGCAATTCGTAAATCTATTAGTAACTTCTATTTCACTCATACCTCGATTTAAAATCCGGATGATTCGAAAAAAGTTCAAGGCTGGCGCCAGAATATAAACAACTGATTTTATTCTGTCATTTCACATCGTTAATTACGAAACACAATATTCATATTTATGATTTACGATATAAATATTATTCTAAATTATATTCTTTGCTTAATATTACCATTATTTTTAATCAAATAAGAATTTAAACCATATATTTCTCATTCTAAATATTTTCGAGTGTTATCTATTGTACATTAACAATTAATATTTATATACGTGATGATAAAATTAATTATTATTTATTTTATATTGTATAAATAAAATCGATCAAATTTGTAAATTTGTAATTGTAAATTTACTTTTCTCGCATTAAAATTGATAAAATATACGATATTTGAATTGATTAAATAAAAAACTATATTTTTATAATAACTGTATGTAACAATTTAAGACTTGAGACGCCATATTCTGTTAGAGGCGAGAAATAACACAATAAACGAATTGCTTTTTTTTTTAGTTTTACTTTAAATACAGCTATTTTTAGTTTTTTTCTTAAAAACATAATAATTTCGTAATCATAAAACTTATAAAATATGCAGTAAATTAAAACATTTGTCCGATATAACACAATAGAATGTAAAATAATTCCTGCAATAATGTATAATTTTTCAGTTGTTAAATATCTCCACAGCGGTTTTTGACAACTGAGAAATTTACTATTATTTTTTAAAAAATTAAACACTCTAAAAATTATAATGTATATCCTTCTTTACTTACATTTAATTGGCATAATTGCGAAGAATGTAATTATGATTTAAAATTGTGCAAAAATGTTACTATTACTAAATAAATTTATCTCAAAATATTTTTGAATTTTAATTTAATATGGTTTAATAATTAGTTTCATTGTTAACAACAAATGTAATAAACTTAAGTAAATAACTTAAATCGAGAGAGAATAAGAGAGAGGTTGAAAAGAATTCATTTATATAAAAAAGAATTTTTTTCGACCTTCCTCCATATTATTTCATTTTATTTCGTAACTCCTTGAAAGATCCTTTCTCTTTATTAATTCGTGGCTTTAGACTTCTTTTCTTCTACTTTCCGATTACATCGGACGACGCATTCTATTATGAAACCTCATGCGTTTAGAAGTTAATACGTTTATCTTATGAAAAATGGTATGAAAAATTCAAGGCCTCATGTTTGCATGAAGTGATTTTGTTTCATGCATGAAGAATCAATTCGATCTGCGAGCAAATATTTATTTAGGATCTTTTGCATTACTTGTACGGTTGAAAATATCGACACACGAATTCATCGGTCGATCCACAATAATTATAGCAGTAATGAGTGCGGAAAAAGGAGCCCAGTGGATCTTATTATGCGGTATTCATGCAGAAAGTAAAGAATGGTTAGTTAACGATTGATCTGACAAAAATAATTATTGTCTGATAGTATTAAAATTAAAATAAGTTCTTGTATCTGTTAAGGTGCGTATCCACCAAAGAAACATTCAGGAACTTGTTGCCTATTGTTACTAGAAACAAACGATTTTAACTAATTAACGGTGGAAACTAATAGGAACAATTTGTTTCCACCGAATAAACTTAATTTGGAGGAACATTTAGTTTTGCTCTATAATTCTAAATCCGCACGACGACAACCGATCCCAGACAGCATTCATGTCCAAGATTGGGACATAGGATATTTTAAAGACATCATTAATAGTGATTGATTGCACTTAGTACACATGTGCACTGGTGCACATTGAAGCCATCGTACACAAATTGACGTAAAAATATATACTTAATATATATATAAAAACGGATTAAATCATGAAATCTTCAATACATTTTATTGTGATGTTAAGTAAAATCTGTATTTTATACCTATTCGAAATATTTGCGTTCCATTTTTATACAGATTAAATCAGTGATTTTAATACGCACTCGTGCGTCCAATCAAATTCGCTATAAAAAACACCTTTTAAACGAATTTAAAAGACTTCCCGCAAAAGACAAACTAACAATAACATTACATCAATTTGCTACTCAATAATATAACTGTTATGTACAACACGTGTTGCATTACATTTATATTATTGAGTGGAAAATTATTGATGTAATGTTGCTATATCAATTTGTGTTCTGTGGCTTTGTAATGACGTCTTTAGGACATACATATTATGCCTGTCTGGGATCGTTTATGTTTTCCTAAAGATTCAAGATCGTTACTGCGGAGGCTCGTCCTGTCCGTTCACTTTTATGATTGTCCGTCTATCGTTGTCCTGGTCATTCGATATTTTTCACATCGGTGACAGTAACGGTAGTGATGGCGATAGGCAGCGGCAGCGGCGGTGGCAATTGCGACCGGTAACGATGGTGGTGGTGGTGATGGTGGTGACGGTGGCGGATGGTGGCGATCGCGTGGTGGTGGTCCCGCATTCTGGCGAAAGGGAAACTACCTGGTCGAGTGGCTCTTTTTTTTTCTTTTTCCCCCTCGACTGGCGAGCGGGATTTTTGACACGGCCGACGTCCGATCGTACTTGCATTTGTCTCGGAGCACTCTATCCGATCGTCGTCCCCGAACAACGTCCCTCGTGCAACGAACGCGCGAAAAATCGGCGCATCCGAAAATGCGTCACGTGCAACGTCCCGTCTGACCCGTCTGATCTCATCGTCTCGAGCGCGAATTCTGTGATCTCGATCGAATCTTTTCTCTTTTCTTTCTCTATCCTTTTCTCTCGGAGTGTCGCGTAGAGTTGAATATCAAGTCCGCGAACTTTTACCTGGGCCGTTTTGAAATTTCGTTCAAAGAGTGTCGCTCGTTCTGTTTTCGACAGGTAACGGCCGCGCCGATTTATTTATTTCTTCGATTTCCTAAAGTTTCTCTTTGGTTTTAATTCGCCATCGGAGAAAGTATTACGGATTGCCGGGGCGAATTGTGCTGTGGTGGCTCGGAAATGAGACATAGGATTAGACACGACTGAGCAGCTGCAAGGTGAGCGTGGAAATCCGAATTGTGTGCTCTTCTAATTGTGTGCTGTGCCATGCGGAACTTCCGCGTCAACGAGTGGAGATTTAGCTTCCATACACAAATTTCCGTAAACGCACAGAAAGAACGATTTTTCTAAAAATTCAATTAGATGCAGGTCTAAAAACAATTTTGTTGCATCATCAAAATAATTTGTAGGAAACTCAATACATAATGCTGCAAAAAATTTAACATTCGATCTAGCAATCAATTTGAGCGTTCTACATAGTTATATGGTTCAATAAAATTATTTTCAGATCATTTAGCTAAATTTTTAGATATTTTATTAAAATCATTTTTTTTCTATGCAGTAAGCAATTTTTTATTTACTATTGCTTACGTTATTATATGTTCTCAATCTGTGATTGGCCCATTTGCTTAATGCTTACTCCTTTATATTTCTTGTGTGCTAGTACATAACCGACGATCATTTATTTTGATCCTTCTTGTTAACTGATCGCGTGAAAATGAGATAATGGAGAGACACAATAATTGAAAAACTCATCCTGCAATTATATTCAAAAGCACGTGTTTGCTTTTGATTGATAATTCATCGTTGTAATAATTACGACAATTTGTCGTTGTTATAATTCGTTCATTTGCACTCGTCGCGGTTGATTCTCGCCGCGAATCGCAAGAAGTGGCCCAGAAGAGCGAGCAACATTAACGAACCGGACTCAGAATTAACTGACCGATACAACTCGGCAGACCACTTTCACATGCGCAAACCGCCAGATGTACGACCTCCGTTTCTTACGTAAAACTCGGGCACCCGTGTAATCATAAACGACTGTTCAAATGTCGAAAATTTCTCATTTCCCTCGAACGTGTCGTTTCTGCAATTTCACTCGATGACATTTCATCTTTACGATCGGACACGAAACGGATGTTTCAACGACTTTAAACAAAATTAGTTGTACTCTAGTACCTGATGATGATTTTATTAGCTCGCGCTTGCAAAGTGCACCGTAAAGAAAATGAGGATAATTGAATTCATTTTTTTAGGATATAATTGTATGTCTTTCATAACTCGTGCCGCATATTTGATCTCGAATATTAAATATATATAAATTATTAACACACACACATTTTACATAACTATGTTAAGGCAAGAATCTATTAATTAAATTACTAATTTTATTTCTTGTTTTGTAGAAATAGATTTGTAGAGTTTGAAAGTTAGATAGTTCCAAATTGAGAGAAGCAAATCTAAATTACGAAAATATTTAAAATATTTTTTAATACTTCTAACATTTTTTCAGATATCTTCTATGTGTTTGTTGCATATTTATTATTATATATTTATCCATAATGACTAATAAAAATACAACAAATATATAAAAGAAATCTGAGAAATACTAAAAGTGTGGAAGGTATTTTATAATATATATGTAATACTTTTATTTTATATATACATATATATATATGTGTGAATTTAGTTGGTCGCATGCTCTGAGTTGTGCGTGTTACAAAATAACATTCTTGAAACAGTCGATACAGTATCACCGATCGCGTATACGGCATGAAAAGAATTTACTTTCTATCGACGCAAGTACGAACGACCTGCGAAAAATTAAAGCTGATACTTTGATTACGAAACCTACGTCACTTAGTTCTAGCATGTAAACTTACCGCTTCTTTGCCACGTAGAAAAAAAACGCAACCACAAATATTTGTCTTCGTAAAACTATTCGACTCGTAACGAGCATTAAGGCTTCGTTCGAAGGAAATTTGCTCGATTTCCACGTGCTATTTGCTATTAACAAGTATCTCTATCTATTAGCAAGGATATATAGGAGAAGTCGTAACCAAGTAATCATTTTGCATTTACCGTGGCATTACCGTAGAACTGAATGGAACAAATGAACCGTCAGATGTCTCGGAGCAATGGTAATTCATGTACTACAATCATCGAACCTTCCTTGATACTGATCTTTCCCCTCTCGATCCTCCTATGATGCTTCCATTCATTCATGTGCGCATGATAAATGTGTATAAGAGAACGATTGTTATTACAATAAAATTTTGTTTTTTTTTCGTAGGTATATAAATATTCGAAGTGTATATAAATACGTTAAAATAAAAAGTATATAAATAAGTCATAAATATTTATAATATCTTGAAATGAGAAAGATGGAAAAAGTAATTAATGAAATTTGAATAATAATTAATTAATTTGAATAATACTTTGTGCTTAATATCCTTATAACTCAATGTATAAATCTCACGTTAAACAATATTTTAAATAGAGACTCAATAGTTTTTACATGGTTTATAATGAAACTTTTTGTTATAATATAATAAATTTGATATAACGAGAGCCCCTCTTTTTTCTATTTTTTTTATCGAATACACTTTTGTGCAGTTTCTTATACAATACAGAAACTTACAGTAACGGTGCTGCAACGTTTGCAATGTTACTTGCGATATTGCTGAAACGTTGCAATATTGCTATAATGTTTCTAAAATCATAGATTTGTGCTGTATAAGATTTAAAATTGAGTGAACCAGAATGTTTGCAACGGGGGAAGAACAGTATCGCTTGCTCTGCTTCGAAAATAATAGCGCAGTCGATAGAAACTAACAACCGGCAAGAGTAAAAGTAAATTTGAGCAACGCAGGCAATGCCGCCTTACGTTTGATCTATATGCGTATCGACTCAAGTACACTCGGTGTGCACATTGGAAAGTTCATTTTCATATTAAAATCAAAAGTTTAAATTCGCTAATTTGGTATAAACATCATCAGACAACAAAATCTCACGTCACCTTTGTAAATAAAGTTACGGTTTATTTTTCTTATAAATGTAACATTATGACAATTATCAAAAAAATAAATTGGAATTATATTATTTTTATCGTTAGTTTTTATTTATTAATTCAGTAATCTTCTTAAAAACAGAATCGATTTAATTATATCTTATTGAAGTAAAAATGCTAATTACATTTGAAATAGTTACATAGAAATTCACACAACAATTGATGAATTTATTCCTTAAGATACAATTATTTCTTAAGATGTTAGGCATTTTAGACTTAAAAATTTGATAGTCGAAAGAAATGATAATTACAAACAATAATGTAGCCAGAATATTTGTAATAATTATAATTCTCGAATCGATACATCGACAATTAATATGTTTTTAATTACGATAAATTTTCATTAAAAACGTATTAATATTTAATTTTCTGTAAATATATGCGTATTCCATTACACTGTAAAATTTATAATATCAAATTGTAGTTATTTTTAATCAAGTGAGTTATCTTTAACTATTTCTATAGGTCGTCATCGCTCCTACTCAATATATCGTTAATTTATTATAATTAAAACAATGGAATTAAATAATTTAACTAAATAAATGTATTAATTTGATTCAAATTTAGTTTATTATTTACTAAGAGCATTAATATGAACATTGTTTATTTTGAAACTAATTACAGAATCGGATCAATTTACATTTTGACATAACATGAAAATTAAAAATAACAAAATGTTATTTAACTAAAAGGATTTGGTTACCATCGCTCCTTTAATATCTAACAGTGTAGCCAGAATTTTCTAATGTTTTTAAAAATTCTAAAAAGGGTTTCTTCATATTTTTTTCAGAATGGCAAGGACGTTTTTGTTGAGCTTCATAGTGGCGTTGCTGCTGGTCTTCGCTCTTACCGAAGCTTCTCGTGGACAGACTAATGAGGTAATTGATTACTAAAGTATGTAATTTAAACATATAAGCGATGATACGTAAGAGATATAAAAGATTTATCTAATTGTTTCAGAATTATATAATGACATATAATACATTGTTAATTATAGGATATTTTTTCGCTTAAAAGATTAATTTTAGATTTTAATTTAAGCTAAATTTTAGAATTATTCAGAAAGGAAAAAATTATTTATGCGTATACATTCATTAACTAGAAGGCGAATAAATGGTAATTTTAAATATAATACATCATCCTGAAGAATATATAATATATATAAACTTTAATTTCTCTCTCCAATTCTTTGCGTTACATGAAATACATTATGTAACATAAAGCGTACGTAAAGACGCAAATTAATTAAAGACAGAGATTTAAAAGAGCATAATCATCTATAAATTAATGCACACGAAATACATGTATGAAGAGACCGGTAAGATCCGTGTTCGCACGTGTTTTGTGTCAAGGATGCGCGTTTGATATCGGGCGTTTACGACATTGCAACGTGCGCGTATTGTTTTTTTCCTTTTTTTCACGAAGGCCGTCGACCCAGCGGAACGAGTCGATTCGTATTATTCGACTAAATCGCACGAGTGCAGTTGCACGCGGCGCACGATGCTCGGTAATTAGAAGCCGAGAAAGGAAGCAGTTCCTTTACCAGATGCGATTATTCGTATAACAACGAAAAAGAAAATCTTTGCGAATGATTCACGACACTTCGTTTCTTATTCGATTAAATCGCACATCACGATTTAATTTAAACATAATGTCGTCTTATTTTGTTTCAATTGTGGGATATTCCAAGATTTCACTTTGATGACAAATTCCTTGATTGATTTGTAATTTCTTTAATCAAAAAGAGACCTTAATAGCTTCCGTGTTATCAAAGATTTAGGTCGAAACTTCCGAGAAGTTCAACCGAAAGACAGAAACTTGTTATTTACTTAAATTCAAAATTTACTTCCTTTAAATTTTAATTTGCAATAAAATTATCCGATTTTGCGATGAACATCCACATTAACGAATTACATTAAATAAAACAATCGTCCTCTTAACATTTTTAAAAACTCGATATTATATTTGTGTCAATGAATTCGCTATTGAATTGAAGTTCGAGTGTAATCGTCTAAAATAAGTTGCTATAAAATAAGAATCATTTTGCAAAACTCTACAATAACATAACGAATAATTATAATTTATACATTTAGAACGTGACGATGAAAGCAACGATATCACGTAAAAGAGAAATTAGAAATAGTTTGTGACTTGTCAACATCAATGAGTCATTCGTCTTTCCCTCTCGATCGTATACTTGGATGTCCAGATTCCAGCTATTCGTTTTGCATTCGCCTATAATAATACGATTGCCAGGAAGATCTCGGACGCTTTCGCCGGCTCTTTCACCGTAAAAGTTGTTAAAGCGAGTTCGTGGCATACAAAAATATATAAGTATACAATATAATAATTCTTCCGATAGATCAAATAATCTATTAAAAGAATTCAGATTAGCATATATTTTGGTTATATTATCATGAAGTTCGATCGTAAATACTACTTAACACGTACATCGGAAATTACTAGCACGACCCAAAGCTTTGAAGAGAACTTTCCCAACATTTCAAAAGTTCGCGTGTTACTATAACTTTTGTTAAATAATCTGGAAGAATGTAAGATTATTATCGTTTAATTTTTAATTTAAATGGAACATTAAAAATGTTTAGAATATAAAAAAGATATAGCGCTGCTTTATACAATGTACAATAATAATTGCGTAATACAATATTAGTTATTATTAATCTTTCGTAACTCGAGGATATTATTTAATCGTAAAAATATTATAAAACTATAATAATTTTATGAGATCAAATTTAGCTCGTAAGAATATAACGTATACTTCACGAATTCTCTCTCTCTATCGCTCTTTAAATGTATGTTTTATTCAAAAAAGATGAACATATAAAGTATTGTCATCAAAGCGAAAATAAAACTGTGAAATCAATAATTTTTATTATTTTTAAAAATCTTTTCATTATTGGGTCTATTATAACTGTCATATGTGTACATTAATTGACTTTCGCATTAAGATGATCATTTATTATCATTAGCTATCAATCAATGGACATACGTAAACTACCACGAATAATGCAGTTGAAGCTTAAACGAACGGATTCGACACGTATGAACTTTTTGCTTATTCCTTCGTTCTCAGTTTTATGCAACAATATTTGCAACAGAAATATACTTGTATGTGTATACACGATAGAGAGAAACTTTTATAAAAATTTTCTTGGAACAAATTTATTACAATTTTTATAACATAGTAATAATAAACTTATCAAAAAAAGACAATAATGATTAAGACTTAACATAAATATTCCAATCTCCAGACTAGTGTTCGTTATTTTCTAATTCTGATCCTATTCTGTGCATTATCGTCGTCAGTAATATGATTGTAGTTCTTATGTTTATCAAACGTACAAACATTTCACGCACCAATCTAGATATCGAGGCGGCATAGATATAGCTTAGAACACATATAAATGGAGTGAGAGGATAAGAAGGAAAAAAGACATCGCAAGTTTGCATGGACCACGCCCAGTCGTGCGCCGTTCGCTTAGCGAACGATATATACCGCATGATCAAAAATATCTCTCTCCCATGTGTTTGTCCTATTTTCATAATGTTACAGTTTGATATAGTAATTATAATTGAACATAATAAATAGAAAGTAGAATATAGTTGAATATAATCGATCACAGAATGAAAGTCAAAGCATCGCTCTATGTCCTCAATTGTTAAGAAGGTAAAATCACAATTTTATTAAAAAAAAAAGTAAAAGTAAAAAATAGACGAATACAATTCATCTTTATTACAATTTTTATAACATAGTAATAATAAACTTATCAAAAAAAGACAATAATGATTAAGACTTAACATAAATATTCCAATCTCCAGACTAGTGTTCGTTATTTTCTGACAATCGTCAAGTGTTGTACAAGATTGTATTAATCACGATCTCCTTTTAATCATCTCTTTAATAGTCTAATTTATCAAGAAGTCAACATGAATTCTGAAGGGAATTAATATTGTCGATGCTACCTGATCGTTAAGCTCTAGATTGGACAATTTCGTTTTCATTAGTATTCGCGATTACCTGCGCTAGCGAGGCAACGCGTATTCCTTCGGTGAACGTAAGCGCGATGTTGATAATTATTCCGCTGTGTGCACCGATGATCATAATCTAATGGAAGCAAGAGCGAGATGTTTTTCTTATAGATTTAATAACGCGTTACGTAAGACAAACATTTCTTATTCCAGGATAATTTTTTTTATCATTGTGTAAGTAGCTTCTTACAAAGCGTCATCGACATCTTTCGTTTCATCATAATAACGGATAATTTATGTAACAGTATGAAGATCTCGCGATTTGTAAATCGTCCCGACGGAAATCGGCTTACAGTTCAAGGCGGACGCCTCTTACCATGTCATATGTAATGTTCTTAATTATTAATGTCCTCAGGAATGTAGTTTAATAGATCATTCTTGAATTAAATACGGAGATGTACTCGGAATAATTACGATAACGCTAAGATATCGAAATAGATTCTTTGCATATTCATTATAGTTTGATATTACAATGAGACTATATAGTTTCAAGTAGTACCACTCAAATGGAACACAGAAGTCATGATATCATCATGACCTTATTTGTCATTTATAAGTTCATTTTTAAATGACAAATGACATCATGATATCCTATAATATTATTATGATTTAATTACGAGTTTGTATTTTACCTGGATATTACTTTTCTATTTATCTGATATTTTATGATATATTAATTAACTGATAAAATTAAAAATGTAATACACTGAGTTTTGCACGTTTTTTTACACATGAGCGAAAGTATTTAAATCATCAGTGAGAGTCGGTTCGATTTTACAGATTTCTCGAGCTTGTTTCTTGATCCGTTACTTCCGAATGAAATGTCAAAACCATTGATTAACATCGCAATCAATTCTGCAAATGAATATAAGTCGCGAAGCCTACTTGCCTTCGTTTCTTTCTCGATAGACGGTTGGTGCGAGGCCTTTAATTAGAAAAGCAAATTACACAATACGCCCTAGTAAAACGTTGCGATCGATATCTAACAAATGTCCGTCACGCGTGTCGTATTGTACCCTTTGGCCGAAGGAACGCTTTATAATTTAGATCGATGATTAACAATCGACGTTTCAGCACTGCTTTCGTTCAATCTCGAAACGTGCTCGCGTACGTGCGCACGCGGTTGCGTATATCACGCTAAATGCGCGCCTATGATGCTTTATTGCGCGTACGAATACACAAACACGCACCGACAAGTGTACGTCGCAGACGGATGTAGCACGTTGCACAAGCGTGCGCGAGTGCGATCTAAATCGAGTTTTCTATCGGAGAAAGCGCTTCTTCTGCATCGTTTACCTCAACAGACTTCCTGATTTATTTGCCATATCTCGCGCTCCCTGTCTCGTCTTTATTTACTCGGACAGCTTCGTCTAGTGCGAAGAGATTAGGATACACATCATTAATATATTGCGATCGAACTTTATCCGATAGTGTTACGTGGTATACTAATTGGGTGATACTGTTACGATGTATTAATTATACTAAGAACACAAAAGAAGCGAAAGAAATGCGACTAATTATATTCTATAAAGTTAATTGAATGTCAGAAATAACGTAAAACTTACATAATTTTTCTATGAAAGAAAATGGGAACGGAATTTTATATTAAAAATACTAAGCAAGAATATCTGCACGATATATATAATATTTTAAGAATAAAACTGAATATTTCTTTTTATTTATAGATGAAATTGTGGAGTAAATGATAATATAGTATATATGATGTTTTCTTTTAATTGTGCCAGCAATAATATATCGCATTGTTACGTGCACATTAAACTCATTGTTAGTAACTCATTTACACAATGTTTCTGGAAACCTGCAATCA